AAAAACGACTAAAAATGCTGTATTATGGATGCCAGGCCAGTAGTTGGCAATGTCTCTTTGTAAAAGAAACACTACACGCCTTTGCACCAGTGTTGCCAAATTGGGCTACTTTAACACCGTTTCCACGGGTTGAAGCGACCCCAATAACGTGAGATTTATGAATGGCCAAAACGCATAAAAAGTTTTCCGTTATTATTGCAAACGGTTGTGTAAAGGCCCCCTAAACGATTGAAGAAGTCCTGCACGTCACCAGAGAGAAGTGTGACATTTTTACCAGAAGATCCAGGTATGAAAACAGATGTTTTTTTTTTGTTTTTTTTAAGTAAAACATTTATGGATGAATATTTCACAATAAGCTCTATATCATGCATTTAGAAAATGACTTCAAGAATAAACCCCAAAAAAAAATTTTTCAGATTCTGGAAGGGTTTACCAACCTTCAACTCAACTTTGCTTTTCCTGCAACTTCGTCTAACAGGAAAATAATCTGTGACCTTTCGATTGGGTTCAGACTGTTTGTCTTTCAATCTGAAATGAGATAAACACACAGTAAGACCAGTGCAAAGGATGCATATAAACCTTCTCTTTCATTCAAAAACAGTAAACACACCCACAATATGTCCCTTAATCAGATGATAAACCGTTAAAACATTTAAAAGCATTTAAAATTAGACATACTTCCTATCCGTTGACTTTTCACCATTTATCCTTTGCGTCCTTGTCCCAGACCCTTTCTGAGGCACAGCAGCAGTCTGCTCACTAGCTCCACAGATAGGGCTCTGTTTGCCAGTGTCCCCTCCTTTAGGTGCATTCAGCTCTGCATCCTTGACTAACCAAAGAAAGAAGAAAGCAGTAAGTAAAACCAACTTTGGAGAAAAGTATTTGGGTGAAACACAATGGCAAATGGGTATTTCGTTAAAGGGATAGTTGACCCAAAATTAAAATTCTGTCATTAATTACTCACCCTCATGTCGTTCCAAACCCGTAAGTCCTCAGTTCATCTTCGGAACACAAATTAAGATGGAATCTGAGAGCTCTCTGACCCTCCATAGACAGCAAGGGTCCTTACACGATCAAGGCCCAGAAACATAGCAAGGAGATCGGTAAAATAATCCATGTGACATCAGGGGTTCAACCGTAATTTTACAAAGCTACAAGAATACTTTGTGCGCAAAATAAAAAAAAAAAAAAACGACTTTATTCAACATTTCGTCTCCTCCGCGTCACCCTAGCGCCATTTTGGAGAGTATCCACTGAACGTAAACAGAGTATGCTGTTCTGTCAGCTGCGTCACGCGGATACGTTGTTTACGTTCAAATCCATCTTAATTTGTGTTCTGAAGGTCTTACGGGTTTGGAATGACATGAGGGTGAGTAATTAATGACAGAATTTTCATTTTTGGGTGAACTGTCCCTTTAATACGATCTAAACCGATACCTTCACTCGGTTTGCTCGTGTCTTCAGGGAAACGGCCCGTTGCTAAATTGTCCTCTATATGTTTATTCCGGAGCGGCTTGCTGAGATTCAGACAACTTTGTATTGTTGGCTGCCCTTGGCATGCCTGAGACACAAATAGAAATATTACATCAATTGATTTATGACAAAGGCGACTATGTGCGCGGAGTAATAATCAGCCATACAGCTCGAACCCTACGAATATAAACGCTTTTCTCTTACCGTGGGCTTTCCGTGCTTGTTCTCTTTGGCCTCTTCAGCTTTCTCGTTTATCCTGCCGTCTCCAGGTCTTCGTTTGGCGGAAGCGGACTTTTTGCCTAATGAGAACATGAACAATGCTTACTTCTCAAAATATGTGTTTGCATGCTGCAACATTCGAGCTGCAAAATGTAAGTTACGCACTGCATCCCTACTGATCGCAGAAAGCGCGAGTATATAACGATGCAACATTTTGAAACTAAATCTCTATGGAGTCAATATAATGCCACATATATATGCAAAATAATAAAGTTTTGCAAAAGGAAATAAAGTTTTGCAAAAGAAAATACAGTTTTGCAAACGAAAATAAAAGTATTGAGAAAAAATAAATGTGTTTTTGCAAACAAAAATAAAGAATTGCAAAAGAAAATGAAGTATTGTGAGAAAAAAATTTTTGCAAACAAAAATAAAGAATCGCAAAATATAAATGAAACTGCACAAAAGCAATGATTTTGCAATACATATTTTCCATGGCCATATCTAGTAATTTATTTGCAACGCTGCTTTTATTTTGCGTTTCAGTCAAGTTTGAGCTTGCCATACGTTTTTCCCTTTGCGCTTCAGGTTTCTGCGCGTCTCGCTTTGTGGCACTGTTTTGACATGGGGGTGGAGTCAAGGGACGGGGGCGTGTACAACAGGCCTGGGCATGCCTCCCTGGAAGTGA